GGCGCTTATCTTTGTGACCAGGTCAAGGAGTTGGTCTTATGTGGAACGTCCTGGCTTGTTGCTTGTGATAGCTTTTATCCTTGCACAACTGGTCAGTGTGGCACTTACTCTATCTGTGGTCAGAGTTTATAAACTTTTTTTGACCATTTTTTTTTTCCAAACAGGTGGCTACTCTAATAGCAGTCTATGCAAATTGGAGCTTTGCTGCTATTGAAGGGATAGGGTGGGGATGGGCTGGAGTCATTTGGCTTTACAACATTGTGTTCTACATTCCTCTTGACATCATCAAGTTCTTGATTCGGTATGCACTTAGTGGCAGAGCTTGGGATCTTGTTATTGAACAAAGGGTATGTATATCAAGATTATTTCCATTTATCTTTTACATAATCTTGGGTTGTGGACACATAAGTGATAGCTTTTTACACATCTTTGTTCTATAGATTGCATTCACTAGGAAGAAGGATTTTGGGAAAGAACAAAGGGAGTTACAGTGGGCACATGCACAGAGGACACTACATGGCTTGCAAGCACCAGATGCTAAGATGTTCCCTGAACGTACCCATTTCAATGAGCTTTCCCAAATGGCTGAAGAAGCTAAGAGAAGAGCTGAGATTGCTAGGTAAACACTCATCTGCTCTGTTTTTATTCCTGTGAAGTCAGTGAAGAACACAACATTTGTTATTTGTCTCATTCTCTTTCACTATTATAGGTTGAGGGAGCTTCACACACTCAAGGGCCACGTTGAATCTGTAGTGAGACTTAAAGGTCTTGACATTGAGACCATCCAACAGTCCTACACAGTCTGATAGAGAAGCCTAGAGAGAGAGAGAGAGCTCAGGAACCGTCTCAATGTCATTCAAGAAAGTGATATCTTTGTTTGAAACTTAGTTACAAGTTATGCATATAAGTATCAGATTCCAAAGTAGTGTTTTTGCTTTTCTTTTTAAGTTTGTTATGTTATGTGATGAGGAGAATGACCAGAAGTAGAAAACATAATCCTTAAAAATGCAAAACAAATTGTTATTCTGTAATACATCTGAAGTTATCATCTCCCTTCTCTTCCACAATGCTAGAAAGAAAGAGATGTGATGTAAAATAGCAACCAGGGAAAAAAGAAAGAAAGAGAGATACAACAACAAGTATATGATTACTTCATTCTCTATAGCTTATTCAAAGAAAGATCAAAGAGTGTAAAGGGATTGCAGCGAGAAATCATCTCCAGAGTCCTTTAATCTATTTTACAAAGCTAAAATATCTTCATTTTTTCCTTTTAATTTTATATGTCAAATGAAAATCATAAAATTAAACTGAAAACGTCAATATTTATTATTTGATTTATAGAATTTGATAAAAATATTTCAAAAACGAAAAACTGTTTTTCATATTTTCGTGAAAATCATCAAAATTTGATTAAAAATGATTTTAAAATATATTTTTCTCAAATTTGAAAGGTATATTACTTAAATATTTGTCCATGGGTTCACTGATTTATAAGGAGGGTTTTCGTTTAGTTTTGATCGTTCGGGAAGAATTTGATTTGAGATTTTCATTAGTTGATGAATGGTATGATGATTAGTAGAGAGTATAAATGATTTAATTTTTTTGTAGAATGGCGTCGGAGCTTTTGACTTGATTGAATCTGACCAAAAACTAAGTCTAAAAGCTTCCAGAAGATGAGAAACCACATGATCATATTAGACTTTGTTCTTGTCTTGTTGTTTGATCATATCACCATTGGTTTCATAACTTGTCACTTCATCATCACTTCCTAACTTCCTTTGTACCTATACCATCTTGACATCACCAAGAAGTAAGCAAAATTAACCGCCAAGATTCCAGCAATCATGAAGTAAAATTATTCAATCTTCCTTTGTTCAAATCTTCAGCTAACCAATTACCACCAGCAGAACTGTGAACCGTTGCAATCAAGAAGCTACCAAGATAACTCGAAACTCCTCCTCCTACATAAAAGATTGAACCAGCGAAACTCCTCATGTTCTCAGGGAACTGCTTGTAGTAAAACTCCATCTGTCCAATGGCTCCAAACGCCTCAGCTATACCAGCGAGTGTGAGCTGCGGTATCACTTAAAACACTAACTTAAAACACTTAGATTAGACAGATATACTAAACAAAAACTTACAAATGATTATTTATTCTTTTTAAAAATTATTTAACTTGAAAAAAGTAACAAAATAAATTTTCTTGTTTCTAAAATATTTTAAAAAATAATAATTGCAGCGAATGGCACAAAAAAAGGTAAAATTATTTTCACATCTTATTATTTCTTTACTTGATTTATGGGTATCAACAGCATAACTAGATTCACATAGATTATGTTTTCAAACATCAATGATGAATAGCATGAAAATCATCTTAGGTGACCTAAACTTTGATCACTATAAAGCAAAATTGTGAACTGGGATGAAATAGCGGTTTTCTGCATGATATGGAAACGCTACCTGTATATTGGTGACGACTAAAACTCATAAATGATTGAATAAAGAGCTTATAGTTCTCAATGTTTATGTAGATTTTGCTAATTGAAAACAAAAATCCACAGATTATTGGTAAATGAGATTGTATAATGATGAGGTTATGATTCTTCATGTTTGGTGTCAGTGGAATCTAACCAAATCTGTTAAGAAAATGAAAATATACAAAAGCCAATGGGATTAGAAAAAGCAATAGCTTTGATATAAATAGAAGACGTCAATCGAAGTTTTCTTGATTATTTCGTAAAAGGTGAATAAAAGATAAGTTTTGGTATCAAATTTATTACTAATTTTATAGCACAAAGTAGGTTTAAATCCTAACAGTTTTTCCTTATGATTTAAGCTTTCTTTCTTTGGTCTAAAACTGAAGACTTTTTTCCACTAAAGTAGATCTTTAAACTAATATTGAAACTTCCTCTGCAAAAAACTACTTTTTGAATCTTCCTGGCTTACTTTGTGATCAAGTTACATTTTTTGTGCAGATGATGTCTCGACACTGGAGATCAAATACAACTGTTTTGGTTGGGGCAACAAAACCTCCTTCAAACCCCACTCATCCAGTGATCTCCAAAATTTTCTTTTGAATCTAGGCGATGATAAATTTGTTGGAGGGTCGATGAATTTGGTTGTTTGTGGACGAGGTAATATCTTACCTCCATGGTTTATTTTTATTATGCTTCCTAAAACAAGATTCTTGTTTATAATTGTTATGTTTTTTGCGGACCCTTTTGAAAGTCTTCAGTAAATGGTTATAGATTGTTTCTCCTAAATCAGATATGGTCCGTTAAATCGTGAGGGCAATTATCCTGGACCACAGATATGTCCCGCATAAAAGATTGTTCGTTGCAACTCTTTAGGAGAGCTTGATCTTCTTGAGATTAGTTGGAGACTTCCTCCTAAGGCGTATTCTCAATACAAACATGTGGTCTACCTCCAACGTGTTCTAGAACAGCGTAAGTTATTGTTTGTTTTTTCTTTAATCATTTGTATTTTATTTTTTTTATTTCTTTGTTTACCTCTTTTCAGGCGGCAAATGTACGCTTTCCTTGAGAATTGGTGAATTCATTCAAAGTGCTCATAGGCAATGTCAATGATGATGGAGGAGCTCTTGACTCCACTTCGTATGAATCCCGCTTTACCATTAGAATTAGGGCCGTCTAATACCATGTGTAAGTGGAGCGGTCGAACAAGACCTCAAATATAAAAATAAAAAAATGAAGAAAAAATAAGGAAAAAATAAAGAAAAATTAAGAATTTTTAAGAATTATATAGATAAATTACCATAATTTTTTTTTAAAAATTAGATATATTGCTAGATTGGAATTTATAATTTGTAAAAAAAACATCAAAGATAATTATTAACTTTTAAAAAAAATTCATTAAATCATAAATATATCGTTAATTTTTTTTTACATGGTATTAAATATATTTGAGACGGCCCTGATTAGAATGGATCTTTCAACACATGGTATTCAAAAGGTATGTTCAAAATTTTAAATATTAATTTATTTTTGTTATTTTTTTTTTGTCAAAATTTATTTTTGTTATTAACATTATGTTCTGTGTGCAGATTTATGACATAGTTGAGCTTGTTCTTGCATTTCTCAAGTGCTTGAGAAATGAACATTTCCCTGTTGTAATGGAAGAATACAAGATCATTCAGAGTATCAAATATGCAAATTTTGATACATCAGAGGATGGAGCTAATATTGCAAATTTCACTAAGAATAATTTCAATGTTGCAGGCTCTTCTAGCAGGTTTTGAAACATCTCTGATCTTTGATGCATACAAGATCAACTTCTCTGTTATTGGCATTTTTAATGAAAAAATGCCAGTCTTGGTTGAACATATCTGGAAAGGTTTCTTATCATTTTTGCCATCACCAAAGACGTTTCAGGTATTTTTGGATTTTATCTATAACTTCACTGAATTCTTTGAGTCTTCCATACAAACATATTGAATTCTTTTGTTTGTTTTAATTGATTGTAGCATCAAAAAAGAAGCCTTCATTTCCAACTTCAAAAAGAGTGCGATTGATATCTATATATACTAATTTTTGCAAAATTTTAATTTGAAATTGAAAAACTGAAAGTTTTTAAAATATAATTATGATATCTCTGTTTGAAACTTAGTTACAAGTTATGCATATAAGTATCAGATTCTTAAGTAGTGTTTTTGCTTTTCTTTTTAAGTTTGTTATGTTGTGTGATGAGGAGAATGACCAGAAGTAGAAAACATAATCCTTAAAAATGCAAAACAAATTGTTATTCTGTAATACATCTGAAGTTATCATCTCCCTTCTCTTCCACAATGATAGAAAGAAAGAGATGTGATGTAAAATAGCAACCAGGAAACAAAAAAAGAAAGAGAGATACAACAACAAGTATATGATTACTTCATTTCTCTATAATAGCTTATTCAAAGAAAGACCAAAGAGTGTAAAGGGATTGAAGCTGACCACAAACTAAGTCTAAAAGCTTCAATAAGATGAGAAACCACATGATCATTAGACTTTATCCTTGTCTTGTTGTTTGATCATATCACCATTGGTTTCATAACTAGTCACTTCATCATCACTTCCTTTGTACCTATACCATCTTGACATCACCAAGAAATAGGCAAAATTAACAGCCAAGATTCCAGCGATCATGAAGTAAAATTTATCCAATCTTCCTTTGTTCAAATCTTCAGCTAACCAATTACCACCAGCAGAGTTCTGCGTCGTCCTGTGAACCGTTGCAATCAAGAAGCTACCAAGATAACTCGAAACTCCTCCTCCGACATAGAAGATTGAACCAGCGAAACTCCTCATGTTCTCAGGGAACTGCTTGTAGTAAAACTCCATCTGTCCAATGGCTCCAAACGCCTCAGCTATACCAGCCAATGTGAGCTGCGGTATNTACCACCAGCAGAGTTCTGCGTCGTCCTGTGAACCGTTGCAATCAAGAAGCTACCAAGATAACTCGAAACTCCTCCTCCGACATAGAAGATTGAACCAGCGAAACTCCTCATGTTCTCAGGGAACTGCTTGTAGTAAAACTCCATCTGTCCAATGGCTCCAAACGCCTCAGCTATACCAGCCAATGTGAGCTGCGGTATAAGCCACATAGCTGACATTGATGAGATTTCTCCCTTCCTTGGCGCCATACCGAGTGTTGGTTTAGTCAGAGCAAAGGTTCTCCTCCTTTCCTCAACAAAACCAGACACTATCAAGCTCAAAAATGCAAAGAAGATACCAGTTCCTATTCTCTGTAAGAGAGTGATTCCAGTGTCTACACCGGTGATTCTTCTCAAGGTAGGCACGAGGACACGGTCGTAGATTATGATGAAAACAGTCATTCCTGTCATCAAGAAGACCACATAGGTGGCTGCAGGAATCACAAATCCTCCTGAACCTAAGCGACGATCGCTCTGGAGGGCTTGGAAGACAGGATAAGTCATTTGTTGCGTGATGGTCAAGTAGTAGATAGATGAAGCAAACCATATAGGAAGCACTCTCACAATGCACTTCACTTCTTCAACTTGTTGCATTGTACATAGCTCCCATGGATCAGTTGGCTTACCATCAACTTCCAACTTGTCTTCTGGAGCCAAGATTGCTGCCTTATCAAGAAACCTGCCAAAAATAGAAAGATTTCTTCCTCAGTAAACATAAAACAAAAGTAATAAAAGACTTTTAAAAATAAACTAGTGTTTGGTCCGTGTGTTAACCGGTCTTGGCCAAAGCAGAATGAAACATTAGTCTACGCCTCAAAAAATTTGAAGAAAATTACAAAGATTTCTCAAAAAAAATTTTTAGGCTTCCAAATTTCTATAAAAAAAAATTAATTGAAATCTTTAATAAATCGCCACTAACTCTCTAAATCTCAGGGTCGGCCCAATGTGTCTTTACCTGAACTGGTCGGTGTACTTGAGCTTAGAGTTTGCATAGTTTGTTGGGTAGTAGTTGTAAAGGTTAAGCCAAGGCTGCTTCACATGCTTTAAACCACGTTTCTTGATAGCAACCGTTATAACCTGAGCTATACCAGCCAATGGACTACCTGAGGCTTTGATCTTGACATACAACTTATCACCCGCAAAGAAGATCACACAGGCCAAGAACATTAACACGACCGGGATGGTTAAACCAATGGTCCAACTAACATTAGATTGGATGTAGACAACTAGTGTCAATGACAAGATCTGCGCGAACGTGAAGGTGAAGAAGTACCAGTTGAAGAAACTATCAATCCCTCTCTTCCCTGACTCACTCTTGGGGTTAAACTGATCAGCACCAAAAGCAAGATTACATGGTCTGATCCCACCTGCTCCCACTACAAGAAAGCCAAGACCCATTAGTAGAAAGGCTATCTGGCCACCACTTGGTCCTGTACATGTGAGGGCTGTTCCACATGGAGCTGGATGTAGTTGTGGTACTGCAGCAGTTAATAGTATCACAAATGATCCCTACCAAAAATAAATAAAAAACATTTCATTTATTTAGATTTTTAGATTATAAAACCAAGAATGCTTGTAGAGGATGGATTATTACAAGAAAACATGCGATGACCGCGACGGTTAGTGTCTTGTAACGACCAAAGTAAGTGTCGCAGAGGAAAGCAGCAACGAAGGTTCCGAAGTTGATTGTTCCACTAAAGGCGTTGATGATTGTTGCAGCTGTGATACTCTTCATGTTGAAGACAGCGGTTAAGTAAACCAGAAGGTTTGATAGTGTTCCAATGATCCCAAGCTTCTCAAATGTCTCATTTCCTGGTAATAACAACATGCAAGAACTTTTAGCAAAAAAAAAGAAAAAAAAAAAACATGCAAGAACAAGTTGATCATAAGAGTTTGACCTCAGAAACCAAACCAAGAATCAAACATTGGTTCTTGACCATTTATGTCCTGAACCCTCCTCAAATTCAAGATCTAACTCATTTTTTTGGGCTTAAATATTTGACTATGTCAAAGCTTAAGACAACAACACAGAGAATCTCACCAATAATAAAATCAAACCAACAACTCATGAAACCAACAAAATATTGTTTCTAGAAACAGAGAAGAAAGTTATCAAAATTACTAAAATTATAGGGAATTTCTAGAAATATAGTTTCTTAAGTTGTGGAAATCAGTAATCACAAAAAATAATAAAATTTTCATCAAAATTTAATATATTTTTTTAATGTGTGTAAAAACACAAAAGTATACTTTTAGAAGTAGAGTGAGTAATAAATAGTGTCTAGAAACAAGAGAAGAAAGTCAAAAAGAAAAAAATGGTGACTGATAGTAATATATTTGCGTTACCAATGATGAAAGGCATGACTTTCCAGCCTCTATAAACGACTTTAGTCTCCTCAACAGAATCAACCGCCGTAACAGAGCCATCGTACACGGCGGAGGAAGGTTTCTGGTGATCGGTGGACTCAACTTCGAGAGGCTTTCTCTCCATTTTTACTATAAACTACAAAAGTAGTTAAAAGTTGTGTTTTCTTTGTTTTTGTATATGTTATTGTTGTCTCAAAAGGCTAATGATGACTATGTTCTTTCTCATCTTAGAGTTGTCTCTATTTATAGTGGTAAGAAGAAAGAGGATAGTGGAGATGTTGGAATCTAGACAAATTGGTAATTTGTGAATATGGCCGTGAAAGAGAGCTGTGTTAGTGATTATAATATTGGTTTTTAAATTAGTTATTAAAGTTTTTTTTACGGAAATTAACTTTAAAAAAAAAACTGAAAATTCATGAAATGTAGATTCCATTAACAAGTGCTGTGGCCCCATCATGAACACTTACTCTTTAATAACGGCACGTTTTTTGAAGCTCTCCGTCCATTTTCAATCCAATTGTTTTGCATCATCCATTTTAGTATTTTATCTTCTTCTTTATTTTTGTTTACTTTTTTATTTGTATTCATTAATTTTAATAGATTATATCATTAACATAAGCAATATCATAAGAACATGCTCCATATTGTGAAGATTGAATGTATCCTTTATTCATTAATTAATCATATACTAAAAATTTATAATATCTTAGGAGATGTTAGTAGAAGCTAACCAAGGATAAGAAAAAATAAGATGTCAGTAAAATTGACTAGATAACAATAAGAATGGCCTCAATCTCATCTTCAATCCCTTTCATTTTACCAACCTTGTCCACAAATAAAATCCAGAAGCATATGCTCTCATATTTATTTTCTTGTAGTTGTCAAAGAAATGCAACTAACAAAAATATAGAAAGAATTGTGGACTGTAAAATAAATTTATAAACATTGCTTTGCGTTTCATATAGCTAACTAGATAACAAAATATGAAAAAGACTTAGTAATCATCGGTTTGTATTCATTGAGTAATTTTGGACCCAAGCATATGTACTGATTGTAAGTTTTCTTTTTTTTTGCTGAAATTTGGACTGATTGTAAGTTTGAGAAATTAATAAGGGATTTGACCTCATTATATTCATAAAAAAAAAACTAAAGTTATAGATAAACGAAGCCATAGAGTATGATGAATCATTTGTAAACAAAAACTTCCCGAATCCATTTTAAACCAATAACACTTGGATTATGTGCTCTAAGTAGCTAAATGTATAAATCATGTCTGCAACACTATCCTTGCCTAATTTAGACTGTACGAATAAGATTTTATCAAGTGACGTTTCTTCGTATAAGAAAGTGTGATGTTTCTAGGTCGAAATGCATTTTATTTTAAAGTCTAAATTCACATTAGATTTTTTTATATTTACACCTATTGTTCTAACTTTGATCTAGACGGCGTCTGCATAATCAACACACCAAACCTAAACAAAACGATCTTCAAAAAGATTGACGTGCGTTCGAAAAATCGATTATATCCACCTAATCAGTAATTTATATAAATCGTCTAATTGCCGCCTAAAAATTTATCTTACATTGTATTCAACTGATCCTAGAGTGTCCAGGTTTATGGCTAAACCTAACTAATCCAACCAAGTCATACGACTCTGTTTCTTTGATCGCCTTTGTAACCTAGTCCCCCTGTTTCAATATAATACATAATCTAGATTTTCACACATATTAATCAAACATTTAATAAATACATAAAATTTAGTGAAATAAACCTTCAACTTTAGTTTTGTTAATGTTTGTTACCCTCCGTCACGGAATTTTAGACGGAGGGTGACATACATTAACAGAACTAAAGTTGAGGGTTTATTTCACTAAATCTTTAGTTGAGGGTTTTTTTTACGATCTATCTTTAGTTGAGGGGTTTTATTACCAAATGAGGTTAAATATTTTAAAATCTTTATTATCATTTATTCATTATTTAAGAATCTTAAAATTGATTTATAAACATTGAAAATAATTTATATTTTTTATATATTACTTTATCAAATTTATAACCTATTTATAAAGTTTTCTCATTTAATACTTTTTATAAATTCTTATTAAAGTTTAATGATGATTTTATAAAATTAATGATGTGATTATTCGTCATACTACAAAAACATGATATAAATAAATAAAACAAGAAAAACTTATTGATTAATATGTTAGGAGTATAACATACTGGTTCAGAAATTAAAAAGGAAGAAAAATAATCCTATATTATTTCTTCTGAAACATAAAACAGTACGAATCAAATTGAAATTGTTTAAAGAGGAGAAAAATGCTCTTGCCATATTTTAAGTAACAATGTTGACTTTCTAAACTAAATAAATATCCTCAACACTACCTACAACTTTATATAACTTTGAAATCTTAATTATTGGATATTTGACAGTATTAATATAAGAAAATGGTATGTGTTTCCTCCTTTATAAAGCTTTATCGCTTTACTTCGTAATATCAAGAAAAATTATGTATTATTCCATCCTAAGAAGTAGCAGACAAAAGCTTATAAAATCATTGTTAAACCTTATTAATAGTTTATAAAAAATATGAAAATATTTAATAAGCTTTATAAATAGGTTAAAATTTTGATAAAGTAATATATAAAAAATTATAAATTATTTTCAATGTTTATAAATCAATTGTAAGATTCTCAAATAATAAATAAATGATAACAAAGATTTTAAAATATTTAACCACATTTAGTAATAAAATCCCTCAACTAAAGATGGATTGTAACAAAAACCCTCAACTAAAGATTTAGTGAAATAAACCCTCAACTTTAGTTCTGGTAACATATGTCACCCTCCGTCTAAAATTCCGTGACAGAGGGTAACAAACATTAACGGAACTAAAGTTGATGGTTTATTTCACTAAATCTTTAGTTGAGGGTTTGTTTTACGATTTATCTTTAGTTGAGGGGTTTTATTACTAAAAACCCTATAAGAAAGTGTGATGTTTCTAGGTCGAAATGCATTTTATTTTAAAGTCTAAATTCACATTAGATTTTTTTATATTTACACCTATTGTTCTAACTTTGATCTAGACGGCGTCTGCATAATCAACACACCAAACCTAAACAAAACGATCTTCAAAAAGATTGACGTGCGTTCGAAAAATCGATTATATCCACCTAATCAGTAATTTATATAAATCGTCTAATTGCCGCCTAAAAATTTATCTTACATTGTATTCAACTGATCCTAGAGTGTCCAGGTTTATGGCTAAACCTAACTAATCCAACCAAGTCATACGACTTTGTTTCTTTGATCGCCTTTGTAACCTAGTCCCCCTGTTTCAATATAATACATAATCTAGATTTTCACACATATTAATCAAACATTTAATAAATACATAAAATTTTATGATTATTTTTATCCATAATTTAAACCAATAAAAATATAATAAATTCAATTATTTTTTTGAAATTTACAATTTACAATTTGATAAAACATTCATTCAGAATACAAAAAAATGAATTTTTTTGAAACACACTTTTTTCTAGAATCTGTAATTTATTGAAACAGAGAACTAAACAAAAAATTTAAAATTTAAAAATAAAGATGGTCGTATCATTGGGTCGGTTTTGCAAAAAATATTTACAATATAGTAAATGTATTGTTATTTTTTTTATTCTGATAAAAGAAGGTTGTCTCCAGCAAGAAAACACACACACTAAATTTGACTCAGGAAAAATTGTCCTTTCTACTCTAGTACTAATAAATGTGTCGTTTCCTATACATGTATTTGAAGTCAACTAGGCAGTTTATATATTAGCCTGGTAGGCGGGACCGTTACATTTCATCTTTTGGAAATATATACAAAGAGAAGTCAAACTGTTTGTTTTAGGATGAGATACATTAAGTAGATAGGTAAACATGTGGAGCAAGGGATCTATACAATAAGTAAATAGCAAAAGCGTTTCTTTTGTTCCAATGCTAAAACGCCAATGAAAATTTACATAGATTAAAGAGTTGGAACGTGACTTGATAGTAAAGTGGTATACGTATCTACAAATTCAATTCTTTGCTCAGTAGTGTAGTTTGAAAGCGGACCACACACTCGAACACATACGTATACATGTAAAAAAAGCGTGTAAACATCTACGCATGCGTTACATATGAAAAGGACTACCGCAAGCGTCGAAAACTTCACTCATTTAAAAACTCTTTAGTTAGTACTAGTATTAATTAAATAATACTAGTAACTAATACCATGAGATGATATTTGATATATATATATACTAGATTTTTTTCCGCGCTACGCGCGGATAATATATTTAAATTTATTACATTTATTATTCTTATTTTTATGGGATTTTTGTATATTAAATTATATTTAACTAATTTTTTTTTAAATTATATTTTTAGTTTGAAGTAAGTATTTGAATATAATTCATTAGTGGTCATGGAAAATTTAGTTATATAATTATCTTCAGTATACCATGAAATTTATAATATTGTCAAATATGTTTCTATTATATGTAACACAATTAACTAATAAAATATGAAGAATCAATTTCGAGATTTTAGGGTTATGTTAAAAAATATAATTATGAATAGAACATAAGTTATCTTAGTTTAAGAGATCGGAATCTCATCTCGAATATATTCATGAAAAGAAAATGTACTCCAATAACTTACTTAAAATATAAAATCCGCTTTTCAAAAAAAAGAGAACTTAATAATATTTTTTTATGTATAATAGTTGAAAACTGACAATTGAATATTGATCTATATTATTTTAATATATCTAATGGTAAAATATTAATTGTAATAAACATTTTTTAATTTTTGTAATATTACATGAGTTAAAAGTATTTAAAATCTATAATCTATTTTATTAACATAATATATTTTTATTCATTTATTATTTTGATGTTACAAAATTTTGCTTTAGTTTTATTTGTATATTAATTTGTTAATAATTTAGTTTCTTTTTAAGTAGTTTTAAAATTATCAAGAATATATTATATTTAAAATTATTTATTTAAATATATACAAATATGATGTCTTATTTTTATGTGTGTATGTGTTGAACATATTTAATTTGTAGTTTGTATATTTAAAAACACCTTGTTGCGTGCCATTATATGGTTTTAATAAATGTGTTGTCATTTCATTTTTATTACTACTAACATGATTTTTTTTTGTGTTCCGTGGTAATTTATTTTTAACATTATGTATTAAATTTTATCGTATATTTTCTGTTTGGATTTTTCACTCTTCTGGCACTTTTTTTAAGAATCATTTTAATTAGATAATAGGTTTAAAGATGTAAATAAAATTGTGTACGTTGTAAATTCAGAATTTTTAGTGTGACTGAGCACTATCAATTATGGAAATTATATTATGATTTTATTTTACTAAATCTTTTTTTCAGTGTAATTTTTTGTTTTATTTTTTATTTTTATAATTTTATTGCCTTATTCTTTAATTGCATAGAATTGCTATTTCTGTTTTTTGTACCTTGATTATACCTTTTATTTGTTATTATTTAAAGGATTTGGTATTTTTTAGTAGTGTATATGATATTTATATTGTTTACTAATTTGCTATAAAGAAAATAGTATCATGAAAATATTAGTCACAAATATCATGAAAATATTAGTGACTGAAAATATTAGTCACAAATATACAATATATTTTTATGATATATATTTTTAATAATTCTTGAGTCTATATATGAAAATTTTATTTGCAAATAAGTATATATATGATTTCTTTTTCCAAAGTACATGGTCTACAATTAGAGAAGCATTGTGGACTTTGATGATCGCTTAGTAGCACGTTTATTTATTTATTTCAGTAACTCTTGTTTTCATCTTCAGTTTACTTTTTGACTCTGATAGATTAAAAAGTTTGTTGCAAGTCAGTTCCTCTGAAATGATTGAACCAACCCCAAATAGAGCCAGTGTAGAAAAAAGCAAGAAAGAGTTGTTCATATGTCAATAATCAAACTTACAGCAACTTATTTCCCAAGAAATTTCACGGAACCTTAAGAAGAAACTGGCACTCAAAGGTTGACTTGTTCTTAAGGCATTTGTCAAAGCTTATAACCCATAAGTTAGTAGCTGATATATTTGGAAGCTAGATCATATTCTTACAGTGATTTTAAACACTTTACATATATTTGGCAGTCACCATTACTTGACTTAGCCTAGATGCATACATATGGCAAAGGCGAGCACAGTGCGCTTGATCCTTTTGAACCATTCTTTATAAAAAATGTTGTTCATGTCAAGAGTGAACATACCAAAATGTAATCCATGTAGAAGTAAATAAGAGAGAATATTGTTCATTTCAATGATCTAGCTACAAATTTTGAAACATATTAAAACAATACAAAACAATGGCATTATACACTGCATGAACGTTTAATTATTATCAAACATATTACAATAAAACAATGACTTCATCCATATGGAGCAAAGTGTTCTTTTTTTCCTTTCTGTGGCGATGAATTTACATGTAATTGTTGGTTGTCTCAGCACTTCCAGAACGTTGTGATAGATCAACTCCAATAGTTCTCTTGCTCATGTGAGCTCTCTGCACTAACACAACCAGTGACTGCACAACTTCAGACATTGGTGGTCTAAACTCCGGCTCCGGCTGTTCAAACAAACAAACCAATAATCAGTAAAACAGTTTCTTGATTTTGTAAGTTATAAAACCATACCTGGACGCAGAGAGCAATGACATCTGCAAATCTAGAGAGAGATTTAACAGGATAAAGCCCTTCAAGAGCTGGATCAACCATTTTTCCTAAAGCATCAATGTCATGAAACTGTGGTGTCGCCCATCTAACCAGTGACTGCTCAGATCTTGACCTTGTTCTGTTCAAAGTTAATAACCCTTCAGGAAACAAATTCCTCATCTCTAAATCTAAGCCTAGCAATGATCATACCTGTCAAATGGTTTCCTCCTGGTTAAAAGCTCAAGCATCACTACTCCAAAACTGTACACATCACTCTTCAAAGAGTATTGACCTGACATTGATACTTCAGGTGCACTATACCCTTCATCGGTTTGGTTTGGTAACTGCAAGTTACCAGAATGATGATATAAGGAAACCAAATAAGCTTGAGAAATAGTAAAGAGTTCAGAGAAGAGTATATCCAACCGCGCGTCTAGGTCTAGGGATTATTATCAGGTCTAGGGAGGGAAATAAAAAATCTTTTACAACCGCGCGTCTGATAAGTATATCCATAGAATCATTCCCATCTTGTTTCACCAACTCCATCGTATTCAACTGCAAAGACAAACACACACATAAACTCCTATAACACCACCCCGTAGAAATCTATATCGGTTCCCTAAGCATACAAATCAATTGCATAGTATTCGATTCAAATCACCAGAACCACTGGCACATATGCCTAAATCTCCTACCATGGCTATGACACCTATATACACAATATATATAGGTTCCCTAAGCAACTATACATACAAAACAATTATCAATCACATAGTATGTGATTCAATCACCAGAATCACTAACACATATGTCTAAATCTCTATGCCACCTATAAACAAAATCTCTGTAAGTTCCCTAAGCAGGTATATATGTAGAAAACTATAAATCAAACACACAGTATTCGATTCAATCATCATATTAGAAAGAAGGGGCGTAACTGTTCATCGCCATAGCTTTAAACTCTTCAAAGTAGGCTATCGGGTTTGCTTGAAAGTAAGTTCAGAGGAAGCTTTTAGCAGTTTATATATGAAGAGAAAGATAGGGAGGTGAAACGAATCTATAAAGAAAGGATTGAAGAACACAATTGATTGATAGGATGAATCGTTGGAGAAGACAAAGTGAATGAGGCAGAGTTGTCGATCCAAGTTCTAGAAATGGGCTCAATTTTTGTAAGAAACCCATTATTTTTCATCGTCGACTTAAGAAGAAATGACGTGTCAGAAAATCGAATTCTGATTGGTCGATTAAAAATTCTGACGTGGATAGCTTAGAATTTGAGGGTATTCCCCTTTTAGTAGTGATATAGATATATACATCGGCTGAAAAAATATATATATATAGATTTATATTGTTTTTCCTATTAGCCAACTTGATGATTTGTTTTTTTGTTTTGTTTTTTTTTTTAACTTGATGATTTGTTAACAATATTCGCTGGACCTGGATGAGGACTTGCCTTGTTAGTTGTTAGTACAGGTTAAAAATCAACTTTTTTTTCCAGTGCGAAATTGCTAGTTCAACGTTCTGATAGTAATACCAAGTTTCACACTCCAAGCTAAACTATAGTTCGATTAGTGTCGTTTCGCGAAATGATTTTATGGACAATTTGTAGGAAATAATAGAGTTGAATAGTTTCAAATTCTGGTCACGACTCTCACTGTGTACGCAACAATAATTCTTATTCCAGTTGAATTATTGTGGGTTCACCTCATGCTCCAACTTTTTTTTTTATTTGTAGATGAAAGGAAAATTAGGCCCAATTTCCTAAAAAAAAAAAAATTAACTAACTAACAAAAAATATTTCCCTCTCTTCTCATTTTTCTTCCTATTTTTTTCTTACACTTTCTCTAAAAAAACTATTCCATCTGTTTCATTATAAGTATCATTTTAGAGTTGTGCAAACGATTAAGGAAAAAATTAATTTTACATATTTCATATATAAAAACACAAATACTCATACACCTAACAACATTTTAACCAATAGAAAAATAAATTACATAATAAAATTAATAATTTTTTTATTGAAAATCGAAAACGACACTTATTTAATAAGGAAAAATTCTTTACAACGACTCTTAATATGAAACGGAGGGAGTAATTATCAATTTTTTGTTATTTTACAAAACCACCCAAGGTGAAATTCACGAGATCGGTAATCACATTTTAAAAAACAAGCTCAACCCCTAATAATAAATTCATTTCACTTTGATTTAAGGATTTAGATTAAAAAGTCGAGAAACTATATATAGTCTTGGACCAAAATATTTTAATGAAGACTTCCTTCTTATTATAACTCCCCCCTCTTTCATATATAGTAAATTAATAATGTCATTTTTAATTTTACTTTTGTAAAAATATCGTTTTCTGCTGTCAATGCAATATTTAAACCCTATTAATTTATCTTTAATTGGAAATATCCTAGTTAACATACGTCATATATTTTCAAACTATGCCTAATTCAAACTCACAAATGGTTTACAATTTAACATGCATCGTACAATATATTGAGTTTATAAGCTGTATGTTTATTTACTCAAAAAATTTTTTTGAAAGCCTTTCATTCAAAAAAAAAAGTTTACTCAAAATTTTGGCGCAAATGATAATGAGTCAATGCCACTGTTACAATTTTTCGTTTCTTTAATTAATAAAGCCATAAACACAGTCAAATTCTTTGATGGAAGCTAACACGGGCGGGGGTGGATTTTTTTTTTTGTTTTCTGGGCGCACCAGCTAACACGAGTTAAACATTTAAATCGTTTTCATGACACTTACGGTACTTATATTAGATTGTATAACGAGAAAAAAGAAAGAAATAAGTATTAGATTTGAATAAACAAATTTAATGGCTTCGGCACTGACGCGGTTACAATAATCTGAAGTGAGACCAAAATTGTACAAGCACCTCCACAAGAGTCAACCTTCATGCTCATTATATACACATAACTGCCCAGACCTTTTTCGCATAGGGCCATTTTCACGTGGTCGATGATAAAAAAGTACAAGTAAAACATTATCCTTATATAAGTATATGTTTGATTATAGTTATATCATACAGTCAGGTCCGGCTTAAAAACATTTTGGAGCCATGACAATTTTTTTTCATATACTTATAATATTTAAAAATATCTAGGGCCGTTTCATATAAAAGTTAGACTTTTTTTTTACTATTTATATTTTTTTATGAAAATTGAACCATTTTCTTCTAAAATTAGATTATTTTTTTTCTAATATTGGATTTTTATTTTACTATTTATGTTAAAAAAATTTGGATCCAGGATCCATGTTCTTTTGGCCATAGGTAAAAGTCGGGACTGGATACAGTATAGAGTGTGTCAAATAAAGTTATCTATGTTTTGTATTTCTTGAGTCTTGACTTCAATAATTTCAATCGGTAGATGAAGGGGAACACAATGAAAATCAGTACACCCTAGTGAAAAATGAAAACCTGTTTTACGGCCAATTTTGAATATCAAAGATCAAGTGAAAACTGTATTCTTATATTCATGCAAGCTTTATCTCTCGTTATGAGGTTTTGTTGCCTTATTTTGTATACGTTTACTTTAAAAAAAATTAAAAGCTAATTGTCAAAATAAAATTAAGAATAAAGCAAAAACATAATCTATTGTTTTTTTATATATGGTTGGATTTTTAATCATATATAAGTTTCGTACGGTGTTGGATCCAATTTCAGCACCTGGTTAATTAGGTTCAAGTCCATGTAAGATCATTATGAGCTCGACGTCGATCAGACTCAACGAAGTCGAAATAGTATCTCGAAGATCACGGAAGCAGTTAGAAGAGAAAAAGACTATAAAAGAAAGCTAGAATGGAGCACGAAGACACATAAAAAAAAACTTAGAGAAGACTACTACTCACATCGACCTCACATTATAAACTTCTTGTTCGCTTATAACTTTTACTTTTCATTGTTGTTCTCGATCTTGTTTACTACTTTGTATCGAATCCCATATTCAATAAAGTCCATTTTTGTCAACCGAATTCCGATTATATCGTTGTGTTTAAGAGCATCGTTGCCTACATCATTTATCTTCCCTTGATCACTACAAAATACTTGGTGTGGATTCTAAGATCTATAATATGTACTTATCATTTTTATGGTTGGATTTTTAATCATATATAAGTTCCGTACGTATACATCATCTCCTTGAATCTTCATCCGGGTCTGTATTGTACAATGTGTAATGTTTCAATAAACTACAATCATTTGTACGTTATGGATCATAACATATGATCGGTTCACCCTCTGGTATTAGTTATAAGATATTTCAAATTCAGATCATGCGATATGGTAACCAATCCAGTCTGTAGCATTAAGTGTGTTCTTCCCGGGGCCAACCGGATTGGCCAATAAGGTTTATAAAAAAAACTACAATCATTTGTTTCGGATGCACAATCGTCTATAGATTCGTATTTCTATAATGTTAAGTTTAAAAGTTTATGTTCATCTATTTTGTTAAAATTATATTTGCATATTTTAGGTGATTTCTTATTGATTTTTCTTCCTTTTAACTAATTCTAATCATGTGTTTATTGTATTTTGTATATAATTTGATAGCATTTATTTACGTTTTTTATTCTATTTCGTTAATTATTTTTATCATAATAACTCAACAACATTTATATTATATGTTAATTATAATAGTTTGACATATTTGAAAGAAATTAATCTATTTGGGTAAAGAATTCAAAATATGTGTCTGTTCTGGTGTGTAGCGTTCTTTCTAGTATTGGAGTTTTTGGATTTTGAAATTAGATTCCGTATGAGTATTATAAATTTTCGGATAGGTTTAGTAGGCAGACTTCTAATACCCCTAATATGATCGTGATAATAGGCAAGAAAAGAAATGAAGAAACTGGTGCTAATTATTTTCTTCATTTCTGACCCAACTCGAAAGAACGTAGCGTCCTTTCTAGTGTCCATCTAATTATTTACCTTACTCCCTAATAAGATTGCCATGGTACTTACTGTTAATGTGTCATTAAAGACTATTTCTGCTATTTCCAGTAGGGAAAGGTCCATTAGCTTTCTCTTTGTATGTCGAATTTTTTTTATGATATATAATTGCAAGCCAATATAAATAAAAGAAAGTGTTAAAATGAACAAAAATAGCATAACCTTACTCCATTTAATAACATATTTATTTATTATTCGTTGTCCCCATTTAACTTTACAATAATTTTTCTATAAAACCATACAATAACTTTGTATTGTTTAAATACAGATATCTATCTATTCAAATATTCAAGGTTCTTTCTAAAATTAAGTTTTCAGAACCCGTCAGTATAATTATAATTCATTTATACTTTGATTTGAATCTAAAGATATTTTAAAGCTTATTCTAAAGATCTAATATGTGTTCCAAAATTTATAATCTATTTATTTTTTATATTCTGTATTATAGACAAAATTAAAATTGTTAATATATGTAAATATGAATAATGTTGAAGACCAGATTTATCTACATGGTACAAAGAATCGACTGATCTTTATAGCAAACATGCGAAGCAAATATGCGAAAATTTTAGTTTGGAAATAAAATGAACGAAAATGAATAGAACAAAAGGAGTGAAGAAAATAGTGTTACAACTTGAGTAAAAATACTATATATGCATATAGATATACGAGTTCAATAAGGCATCCAAACCTACCACTACCACAACGAGGAAACATATATAAACT